CTGGCTTGATTTGGACAGTTTTCTTGTAGAAATGGTCATAAGGTTCCTGTGAGGTGTTACAGGCTGCTGTATTCGATATAGTTATTCGTAGTGAATTTTAGAGGAAGAAAGCAGGGTTCGGTGGTGTTGTGCTGTCAGCTTCAGGACTTTGTTAACCCTAAGGCCCTGGCAGACTGTGGCTGCTCTAATTGGAGGAAGCCCTGAAGGGGAAGTGGATGGTGCTCAGGGTGCTATGACAGATGCCCACTCGAGTGAGCCTCACTGAAGGATTACAGCATGATGAGGCGGTAAAGTGTTTATTTTGGTTGCACTAGGACCGGAGCTTCGAGACAATTTGCCCTGACTGCATATGTGCCCTCTCCGAAACACTAGACATCCTAGCTCTTCCTTAAAACGCACTGTAAACTTCCTGGCAATATAACAAGCCCAACTCACACACTGGCACTTCAAAGCAAAATATGTTCATTAACTCCTAGCATATGCTTCCTTTCCATCTCTTTTACTTTCTCGCATCCTCTTTAATAGCCTCAAAGCCCTGAACAAAATGTCAAAGCTCTTTGCTCACCCCCGAATGAGTGTCTGCTTCCCTCCCACAAGAATAATCACACTCTGTTTAACACAACATGGAATGATGGGTGGTGTGAATGAGGGATGATGCTGTGGACAGTTTTGCATAAGGGAAAATGGAAGCGTCCTTGGTATGTTTGTGAGTGTACAGATGCACAGCCCCTCCTGAAAAGATGGGGCACCATCATATGCTATGTTTAGATGGGTTTTTTTTTTTTTTGCTGGAGTTCCTTGGTCAGCCAGCTAAACTAGAAGGTACTAATCAGCCTAAACCAACATGGAAATTCATGTCTAATCCAGTCTTTTCAACAGGGGGGCTGAATGGAGCTAGACAATGCTACACACTTAAAGTATTGACCCCTTTTCAGTTGGTAAACATGGTGGCGTTTTTATGTGAGCGGGCTTAAGTGGAGGCAGAACGATCCCTCTGGCTGCTTCACTAACGCTAGTTAGCAAGTTTTGCAACTGGAGACAATCAGATTTTATCTTAATGTGTAAGGTCACTCACTGTCCAGGACCGCGATTGTTATTTTCAAAAGTTAATTTTAACGGACGGAACCAGATTATAGAGAAACCGATCGTAAAGAAAAACATATATAAATCTTTAGATGCCTATAACTATATGCTGAATGGTCATGTACAAGACTTGTATAGTAAGATCCGCAATTCTGCCTAGCCAGCGCCAAGAAGACGACAATGTAAAGAGTGACATTACGGTGCGATTTTAATGATGTGAAAATTTTCTAGAAAAAAAAATTTCAGATACAGTATATACATTTTTCATCGATTCTTGCACCAAACAACACAACAAGATGACATTTAATAATAATAACAATAATTTAAGCTCCTTATTATGTAGCCGAATCTGTGCTGGTTTGTATTGGCCGCCTCCAGTTTTTCACTTTGTTTTGCCTCCAGCTAGCGCCGTGACGTAACTGTGACGTCAGCGCAAAAGGGGTCTATAGGTAGCTGACAGCATAATCAAATGAGCCAAGTATTCAGTAAACAAGCTAAAGCACGGGACACACCAAGTCGACGTCAAAGAACTAGCGGCGACAAAAGCTGACTCTGTTGTCGCCCCTCATTTGCTGCGTCTCGGCCAAAAAACACGCTTGAACACACCAAAAGGACTAAAGGCGACTGTCAACTAGCACGTGCGTACTGCACCTGCGTGTAAGTAAATATCTGTCTATTTCAGCAGGTATCAATAGTCTATTTTCGTTATTCAAAAAGGCAAACCGAAACTGGGACTGCAGATATACAAACCTTCAACAAAGCGCTTGCTTACTAGCCTGACTTCGTCATACTCATATTCTAGAAAGAATGTGAGTCTGATACTGCTCCATTGGGCTGTGATTATGGGGCGTGTTTATACCGAACCAGGAAAGAAAATGCCTCTGCATTCAATTGGATAGACCTACAACCAATCAGAGCAACGGAGTAAATGACGCATGTTCTTCATTCATCTTTCCGACCGACAAATGCCTTGATCGCGGTTCTCTGTTCCTCTTTTAAAAGCAATGCGCTGTCGATATCTTCTATAACAGACGCGATGGCGGAATCTACACGATTATTGTTATTTCATAAACAAAGTTCGGGAGGAGCACGTTCAAATAATCAATCCAATCAACTTGTCATCAAACAATACCATGTCTAACGTTACCCTATCAGCATGAGAGGAAGCATATTCACTCTAACTCACCTAAAACTCCTCGACAGTTTTTCTGCATCCCTCCACCACCCCGACTCCTCACTCTTGGCTTGTTCTTTCACAGCCAGGAATACGGGGGAGTAGGCCTACTCTGGGTTCGGGCCGAATACCGATCACGGAGCCCTCTCCTCGGACAGCACGTCATATACGCATTTATTCTATCTGACTTATTTGTAAGTGTGAACTCGTGAAATCTCAATTCTCCAGCGGCAGAACTTTGTTGTAAACGAATTCAACCCAAGCGCTCTTTGGTGACGTGAGGATTACGTAACTGCACCTCATCTGTCAATCATCATATAAAGCCCGCCCTGGCAATTTAATTGGTCCGAACATTTTTTGACTGATCATAATTACTCCTCAATGGATTGAGTCCAGCTCCAGACCGAACTTCCCGACCAAAAATTGTTGTGGGCGGGGTTCGGGCTGGCAGCCAGGCTACTTGCTTACCATTTTGAATATCAATCACGCTCTTCGTTCCAGTTGGCTCATGTTATTATGAAAAAAATCATGCATTCGAATCCTCAGGTACGATGACATATAATTAGAACAGCGGAACACACCGAAAAAAAAACTAAGCCGAAAACCCGGATTAACGACTACTACTGACAAGATTCTGAAGTTTGCATCCATTGGACACTTTACTATCCCATGGACACTTTACTATCCCATGAGGCCACTGTAGAGGATTTGTGAATGGCAGTGAAGCGACACAACTAACGCTATATGTCACATGACAATGACAGCACATTCTTGTATTGAGTCTGTGCTGATTTAAATAGTTGATCTATATACAATGATACTTCTGAAAAATATTGAAGACTTATCTGTTCCATTTTCCTGTGCTCAGTCGAAGGGTGTGTTCACACTTGGCAGGTTTGTGGCGATTGATAGTGGAGTTTTTTAAGCGGGACCTTGATTTTCAGGGGGTCTCGGTCCTCTTCCATGCGAACTCTGCTGTGGTTTGACTGAAATATAAAATGGACCAAAGACATCTAAACGAGATGTGACCCTTAAAAGGACAGAATGCTCAAACATACCCAGTTTTTCTCATCATAGAAGCTACGTGCCCATTACAGTTCGGTACAGGGTTCGAAAATGCCATCTCCTTGCAGGAGATCTTCATTTGTGTGTAATGGAGGAATTCCTGGTGCTGCTTTGACTCGTATACACATTTTATAAGCTCTTCAAGTTCTCAGCTGGTAAAAATACCATTATATGTGCGCGCATACATTTACTATGGCATTTAGCACAGCACGCAGCATTGTCTTGGATGTTCGGTAAGTTCTGTCTCAAAAAAGAAGTCATAGAAGATGTGTTTTGTTTTGTATCTTTAGGTTTGATGTAAAAAATGACAGTATGAATGTTAAGCGAACCAGGACGAAATGTATCGTTTTCCTTTGTTTTATTTTATATATATATTTAGACAAAATAGTAGGTTACACTTTATTTTAATAGTCCATTTTAGACATTCTACTAACTATATGCAACTTTGCAATTACATGCCAAGTAACTCTCATTAGAGTAATAGTAAACTGGTTAGGCTTGGCTAGTAGAGTAAGTTGTACTTGCAAAGTTACTTATAGTTAGTAGAATGTCTGTTGGAGGACCATCAAAATAAAGTTAGCAGATATTAAGCAGACAGTCTACTAATACTCTAACTATAAGTAACTTTGCAACTACATGTCATCTAACTCTCATTAGTTGAATGCCTAAAGCCGACTATCAAAAAAAAAGATTAATATTGGCTTTTTTGCTATAAGGTGACATCGGTTTATCAGCTTTTTAATATTGATGCATCCTTTGTGATAACACATGCACACTTGGCGTGTTGCAATTCTGCTCTTTAAAGGGGTGGTGTAATGCCCCTTTTTTCAATATGAAAAATAAGTCTCTGTTGTTGTCCCCAGAGTGTGTATGTGAAGGTTTATCTCAAAATACCCCACAGATCATTTTTTACAGCATGTTAAAATTATCCCTTTTTGGGGGTCAGTAAAAATGCGTCATTTCGTGTGTGTCCCTTTAAATGCAAATGAGCTGCTGCTCCTGGCACAGAGGGCGGAGCTTCAAGAGCTTGTGTGTGTGTTATCAGCTCTGATTATGCAGACAAGCACTAAAATGTCAGACACTCTTCTGCCTTTTATGTTTAAACTGGACTCGGACAATGTTGGAGAGACTTAAGAAGTGACAACATGTAGAATGCAACAGGACGTTTCTGAATGGTTAGTTGATGGATTTATGTTGCTGATGTGTAGTTAACTCTCTTCAGCATATTCTGCCATGATAATCTATAAAATCGCTTGTGTGGGAACTGTTGTAAGATGACTAAAGAGTGACATGATATTGCATTTGTGTTACGCACTGTATTGCATGTGAAAAGACGGATTCTACAGCTTGAGCAGACTCACAAATGTGCTCAACTACAACAACTCTTCCTCTTCTCAACATGGACTGCTCGCAACATATTCCCGGGGACAGGGTTTATGTAAATTTTAGGGTTTGTGATGTCACTAACCCGGGAGGAATGTCCTGTAGTTCCTACCAGCCGTTTGTTGTAGTCCAACAATTTCTTTAAAAGCAAATATCTCCCTTTGCTTTGAACTTTGAGCGTTGTAATTTTGCAGATGTTGTTTATGCTCAAACAGCAACATTACACACTAACTAAAGTTAGAAAAGTGAAATTATAATCAACCATCCCTTTAACACATCTTTCCATCTCTTGCAGGGCATCATGGAACAGTACAATCCCTGTTTGCGGAATTTCATCGCCATGGGGAAGAACTACGAGAAGGCTCTCTCCAGTAAGTAACGCCCACATCACATCTCCAAACATCCCCCGTTTCATCCATGTTCAGGCAGCTGTCCAAACCCTCCATGCCTTCCCATCCGCCTTTAATGCCACTTCATTTGAAGATGATGACAATGTTTGTCATCCTGTCATTCAGATGGCTACACAGCCTTATCAACTCTCACACAGCCCGAGACACCTCCTGAGCTCAGATGGGCCGAACACAAACGCTCAGCTGATGAGGGCATTCAGAGAGGAGATAATGTGTCCTGCCTCACTGATGATTTGATATTTAGCCATTAGACAGAGGAACAATCAGACGACTTTGAAGGCTTTGTGCAGTAGGTGACTGATGAAGGCCAGACAATTGCCCATTGACGTCTGCATTCACATTGGCAAATGTAATCTTGCTCCGGCAGCCTCGGGTGTACAGTGGCTGTAAAACATTTATGGTGATGTGCAGGTATACATCGTAAAGGAAAATCCCCGATTTAGCGGAAGCTCAATCGACAGCACCAGCTTTGGGGAAATTTTTTTTGGGTTTTTCCTTAATAAAGGTAGAAATCTGGGTTACATTGAGGCAATTACAATGGAAGTGAATGCAGAACCTTATTTCACCAAGTGCAATGGTTCAACATCTTTGTTGATCCTGGAACAACATTTCAATCAACCAATCAGATAGCCACAAGATGTAAATAATTTGAGTGTTAACATGGTTTTAACATGGTTGTGAACAATTCATTTAAAATCACCTTTTCTGTTTAAAGTTCTATCTTTGTCGCATCATAATATCATATACCCTAAAATGACTGTAAAATGATTTAAAGAGTTTTACAGCTCAAATAATACACACATTTTTACAAAATTATTAATGTCAGTGCTTTTTTAAAATTATCAGCTTAATTTTTCTGCTTTTAAATCCTCCAATGTCACTCCCATTGTAAGTGCTCTCACTCGACTCGTCCCAAAACAAGGGGCGAGTCGAAGTCATTATTTTTTTCAAAATGATGCTGTAAACTGTAAAAAATTCAATTGACTTAAGAAACTTTTTTTAATACATTTAGTTCAGGTCGGTGCAACAAGTTTTTTTTTTTTTGCTTAGCCAACTTAATAAATTTAAGTTCCTGTGTCATACTAGCCAGACAGCATTATAAAATGCACCATTATAATGCTTAGCATGACTGAATTGGCCTTTAAAGAGTCACAAAGGAAACCTGGGCTACCCATAAATCCCAGCACCCAACCTACTGGGGGGGATTTATATAAAATCTGTGAGACAGACTGCCCTTCAAACTCTTGAGCATTAAAGGCAGATTGGCTGAGGTGGGTGAAAGAGTCTTATCCTCAGAAAGGGGGTGACGGCACATAAGGGTCCATATGCTTCAGACGTCTATCAACAGGTAACGATAAGTTCTAGAGCCAATAATGCTGCAGTTGGGTAGAAAAGAGCGTGGGTTTTGCCGTAAATACATGGATGAAAGGACATAAAGGGAAGAGACCGAGTTGAAAAAGATATTTTATTCCATAATTGACTACCCCGTAGTGAGGGAAACTGGGCTCTGGTGGGAGGTCCTAGGCTACACTAAGCCGACCAGAATAAATCGTAATCCTCTTTTGCTCTCAAGCCATGTCTTTACCACTCTACCCCGTGTTTTAGGAAATGAAATCACTCAGACACAAAGTCAGCAAAGCTCTCTACCCCCATTTATTATTTCTGACTGGTATTGTTCTTGCTGATTTGTTTTAGAGCCTCAGGCACAGAAAGAAGAATGAGTGCGGTGGGGGAGTGTGTTATGACAAAGTTCTTTCACAGTAAAAGAGAGACTTGCATGTATGGATGCATGGGAATTGTAAGGATTCCAATTTCACTTAATGACCCATTAGCAAGGTTTTAGGAAGCATATGCAAACTATCCTTTCATCCTCCAAACCACTTGTCCTATGTAGGATGCTAGAGCGTATCCCAGTGTCTGTGGCCGTAGGGTTAGGGAAACTCCGTGGAATGATGGCCAGGGGAACTTCATGCTGTGAGATGAGATTTTTGTGAAATTGTTAATTCAAGTATATTATTTTTATTTAAAATACCATTTTTATGAAGCAATGAGCCATAAGAGTTATCCGGGAGAGAGTATTGAGCGTAGACGGGGAATAATTGGATAAACATCAGTTATTTTCTGTCAGCTTAATGGAATTCATTCAGAATTTATTTGATTGGGAATTAGACTGGTCGTGCTGTATGTTTGTGTTGCTTGCAATTATTTAGGACAAAGAAATAATACGATTGTGCAATTGTCTATTTATTGTCTTTGAATTAATTATTTTATATATTATTTCAGTGTTTCTCTGTTTGGTCTGCAAACAACCTGGAACATAATTGGCTGTGGCTCTGTTGATTCAACAGAGGCGCATGAAATTTGAGTAAATACTGTTCTACATGGACGTTCAGGAAACATTAATGGAACTAAACTTAATTAAAATGATACAGCTGTGGGTTTTTTTTTTTGTTTTTTTCATAAATGGACCATTTCCTAAATGGAGTTTTGGTAACACTTTAGTTTAGGGTTCAATTCTCACTATTAACCATTTACTTATTTGCATAAATATTACTAGGATATTGGCTGTTTATTAGTACTTTTAAAGCACATATTAATGCCTTATTCTGCATGACCATATTCTACATTCCTAAATCCTACCCAATACCTAAACTTAACAACTGCCTTACTAACTATTAATAAGCAGTAATTAGGAGTTTGAGGCAAAAGTTAGTTAATAGTCAGTTAATTGTGAGAATTGGACACTAATCTAAAGTGCGAAAATCAGCAGTACCAAACTTGACCAAGTAAGTTGTTTCTGTTTAATATTTAAAGGGATAGTTCACCCCAAAATTAAAACTGTCATCATTAAGTCATCCTCACGTCGTTCCAAACTTGTTTCACTTTCTTTCTTCTGTGAAACTAAAAGATATTTTGAAGAATGTTGGTAACCAAACACTTATGATTCCCATTGACCTCCATTGGACAAAAAAAATCAATGGACGTCAATGGGAATTGAAACTGTTTAGTCACCAAGAATTGACGCAAGAATTGAACACGGGTTTGGAATGACATATAGGTGAGTAAATGACAGAATTTTCATGTTTGGCTGAACCATCCCATTTAAGTTGGTCATACTAAATGACCTAAGAGTTAACTTTATTAAACATTGTCTATGTAGTTAACTTTTTCTGCATTCGACAGTTGAATCTCCCCGTATATCAGCAAAAAAATATCCAACCTAGAAGACTATAAGAAGAAAGAAAAAAAGCACAGAGACTGTGAAGAAAATGAAATGGTACAGTGGGACTGCCCAGAGATGATGTTCCCATCTGTCAGGCACATTTCTGCATAATTTCCCTGTAAATAAGTCCTGAACAGTAGCCACATACTGTAGTCACAGACCTAGTGCAACAGTCTGCATTGCCTAACTTAATCAGGGCCACAGCTGGTCAGCTTGATGAACTGTTTGCTCAACCAATTTTTGTGGCCTTTCTGCCCGTGCCAGAAGCTCAGGGTGGTTTTCCACAGGCTCTCAGTGTATTCAATGGGTCCCAATTGATTTCTGAATGAATTCCATAAAGAATAGCTGACTGGTATCCAGTTTCTCCCCGTCACTTTTTTTACGCTCTCTCTCTCTCTCTCTCTCTCTCTCTGAGGGAGATGTTGAGGCATTATTACTGAACTGCTCTAGGAAGTTTTTTTGGGGGGGAAGAGCTGCTTCTTGGCTGCCAGATATTGCTGTGCAGTTATAGTTAGTGGCAGTGGCTTTGTAACTCCTCAGTCCTGTGGTCATAGCCCAAGAGTGACAGTCATGAAGCGAGTCCGAGCTGCTGATTCCATGCAACATCTATGAGGCAGGAGATGAGCTCTGTATGAGTGGGCCAAACCTCTACCTCTTCGCCACTCTACACAATAATGAGTCCCGCCAAACCTACGGAAAACACCAGCATATGCTGTTTGGCTGTCCCAAATCTCACACTCTTTCACTTAGTTCCTACTTCCTCAATGGAGAATGTCACGTATTTATAGAATAGAGATTTTGACACACTTTATATACCGGACACATGGCGAAAACTGAATTGCTTTTCATTATGATTGCTATAGCTGTCTACATTGTGAGCTCCTTTTTCATTTACTACCTACATTAAGCAGATTTCCCATTTCTATTTTTGATGTTCTGTACAGTTATTCCTTTTTATTCCATTTTGTTTTAATGTCCAACAAACATAGTGAGTTTTTGTTTTGTTTTTTTGAACGAAATTGATTCGGCAAAGATGTATTAAATTAATCAAAAGAGACATGATAGAAAATAGTTCCATTTCAAATAACGGCTGCTGTTCAAACATTTGTTCATCAATGAGTCCTGAACTTCCACACTTTAAAGCTCCAGTCCGTAACTTTTTTAAGTTAAAAATAATCCAAAATAATTATATTAAAAAAAACTTACCGGTATTCTGCCAGTGGTCAAAACTATCTGCTTGCCATAGCTAGATTCAAAACGGTTAGCTTGTAATAATGATTTTAATTCCAGTGGTACTGGTGGGTTTCCGCGGGAAATTCGAGCATGTCTTTGCGTCATTACGTCACACCCGTACACATAAAGGAGGAGTTTCGGCTATAGCCGGCTATACTGCGCGTGACGAGATGTTTAGATGTATAGGCTTTTCTCGCAGCACTTTACATAATTAAACTTATGGCATCCAGAAAGATCCAAACAACAATCATCAGTGTCAACTGGAGATTCAGCAATTATAAAACCCAAAAGACTTCGTACTTCGGATTTAAGGTGGCTAGAGAAAGAAAGAAACCGTCTCATGCGAACACAAAGATTTAAACATCGGCGGGGCTTTTGAAAAGTGCGTGAACTCCGTGTTTTGAAGGGGTTCGAAACGGAAGAAGAGACGGCCTTTTTCTGCTGAACAAGTAAGACATTTCAATAGTTCAATCGTGTAACAGTACGTTTTCTTAATTCACACAGTTATGGAGTTTCCTTTGTTGTGCCTTTCTCGTTTTGCTATTATGGAGAATATGAATTCTGAACTACACAGGTAGCTGCTAACCATAAAACACATTACATTTAACATTAATCACGCAATGCTGATGTTGTTAACATGAACAATTTGAGAACAAAGTAGGCTATAATTTGCACGGTTGCTGTAAATCGCGTTGATTAAATCTAACGAAGCTTATGTCGAATGCTTTTTCCCCCTTAGTTGGTCGGAACAAAAATGGATGTTACTTGTTCAGAAAACATTTTCTTATGAAAATTCTTATGTTGGTCAAACTTTCAAAAAGTGAATCTGTGATTCTGTATGACAGTAGGCTATCCACACAGCGCGGTGACTGACAGCAGCACTCGCCTTAAAGCACTGTTCATCCGCGCTGTTTCATGCCGATTTACAACCCACGTAAAGATGATAATTCCGCGAATCACTGCAGTTACAGATTTCGAACAGAGAGATGGCGACAAAGAGGAAAAGATACGGACTGCAGCTTTAAGAAGCACAACTGTTTTCAACATTGATAATCAGAAATGTTTCTTGAGCACCGAATCATCATATTAGAATGATTTCTGAAGGATCATGATTCATGTGACACTGAAGACTGGAGTAATGTTGCTGCAAATTCTGTTTTGCCGTCACAGGAATACATTATATTTTAAAATGTATTACAATAGAAAATAGTTATTTTAAATTGTACTAATATTTCACTGATACTTGCTTGAAGCAAAAGTGTTTATGAAATCTCTGAAAAGATCACAGTAACATTCAGGTTTTACAAGTGAATAGCCTAGCTACAGTTTGTAGTCCCACCAGTTAGACCAACACCAAACCAGTATAAGCCAAGTCTAGGCTAGACCACCATGAAACTTCTTATTAGACTAAGCTGTAAAATCACACTCTTACTCGCAATCAAACGCCCATATTATCTCGCTCTCTCTTCCGCACGTGGGGATCCAGATAGAGTTGTGGAGATAATGATATTCTGTTTATTCTCTTTTCACTGAAGTTGACATTTTAAAACTGTAATGAGGCATGGGGTTGGGAAACTGTGTGTGTGTGTGGGAGACAGCTGGGCTGGTCCGAAAAAAAAAAAAAAAAGGGGGTAAATTTCCATAGTCACCGGAGGGCTATCTTTACTCATTCTAAATGTGTTTCCTGTACAACTGATTGTGTTTCCTGTTGTGTGACAGAGTCATCCACTCCTATAGCTTTTTTTTCCGCTCATTACCCAGCTGGACTGACACCAACTTGCACAGCTGATAGCCGGTCCCATCGTCGTCATGGGCTCTTTGATCACTGAATATACTGTTGTAATGAGAAATGAGAATGTTTGACATATTTTTCTTCTTGCCTCCATCTTTTGCAGGTGTGACATTTGCAGCGAAGGGCTATTTTGATGCTCTGGTGAGAATGGGAGAGCTGGCCAGTGAAAGTCAAGGATCTAAAGACCTGGGTGAGTCTCGGCGTCTTGTTTTGCCTCAAGGGAACAGGCAAACTGTGCGGCCTGATCCGACATGACACCACAAAACACGCACTAATGGAACCACATGCTCAACAAAGTGCCGATGTTGCTTTCATTAGGCCCAACTGTCAGAATTTGTACCTACGAGAAGCTTTTATAGTCAGTCAAAGGGCTGACAGCATTGGATGGGAATTCATCTGCCGTGCTGCAGGGAAACTCGGTGATGCATCATTTATGATCAGTTTAAAAAGCGGATCTAGTTCGAGGGCTATAACTTCTTGAAATAGCATTTCACTTTCTGCTACAGGGAGGCTGTCAGAATTGTTGGTCGGTTCTTTGTTCTGCCAGGGATGTGAGAGTGGGTGTATATGTGACCCTCAAGATGCTTGTTGCTGATGGGGATCAGCTAGAGGTATGGCAGCATAATCTCGTTTGTATTCGTGATACCATCTCCTTTGTCTATTGAACTTTCTAGTCCTTTTGGGCATGGACTAAACCACCTTCTACCTCACTATCAGGAGCCCTGAGTGAATTTAGGCTGTAGGTGTTTTTTTTTTAATACATTTTTTTTTAGATACTTTGGGTTTTTCAGACAGATGGTCAGGTGGGAGTCTTTCTGCATGTTACAAAGTTAAACCAGACATAATTCTGCATGTCATTGAATCATTCGGTCAATCCATTCGTTCAAATCACTGACCAATTCGAGAGCTGAGCAAGATGCTGTGTTTGACCTCACTTACTGATTGAGTTGGTACAATTGATGAGGAACAAATGTGAAAATGTTCGTTCTGTAACACTGATGGCCCACTTTAGACATTCTACTTACTATAAGTAACTTTGCAACTACATGTCGAGTAACTCTTATGAGAGTATTAGTAGACTGTCTGCTTAACTGTAACACTTTATTTTGATGGTTGATGGTAGAGTTCAAAGCGGGACTGGTTTGTTTTCGTCCTGTTACCACTAGGTTCTATTCCGCTCTTGCCCGCTATCTGCTTACAATCATTTTCTTCCCGACCCAACCGATCCCGCTAAATCCCACTAATCTCAAATTTAAATTTCCCCTAAAGAAAGAGAGGGCAGAACAAATATAAAATGTTGGCTATACAAGAATTTTATGTTGTTTTTGTCTTATCATGATACGGTCAACAGACACACACACACACAAACAAAATGTCACAGAGAAAAATAGGCTATATTAAAAATGACATTTGTCACTCAAAATAATAAGCCAAAAATACGAATAAATGAAAACAGCTGGGTCACTAGCTATACTGCAAAATGCAATCTTTTTTTAAACATCCATGCAAGAACAGAATGTCGCTGACTGGCAATGGTTTCAGTAGCTTACATCTCTCCTCCAAAATCCAAGCACAAAAGCTGGATGTTCTCTCTGAAGGTGCACTCGTGGTCGGGATGCATCGGACATATCTTGCCAGGTTGCTCAGGGCAGGGAACTGGGAACTGTGTGAATGCCACAACTGCAGAAAGTTTTGTTCACTTCAAGTTCAAGCACGGATACGCTGTTTTCAGAGGATGTCAGGAGTGGTTGGGCTATTGTCAGACCGCCCGCTCCCGTCCAAGAGTTACAGACCTGTCTGTGTCAGCTGCGTCGCTTTCCTGTGGCCTCATGGGATAGTAAATTGTCAATCGAATGCCCTCTCCAGAATCTCTGTGAGTGAGTTCTTTGTCTTTATGAATGAGTCATTGAATAATTCGCTCGAATGATTCAATCAAACACACTGATTAATTTAGGAACCAAGCAAGTGTCTTTATGAATGAGTCATTGTATAATTCGCTCGAATGATTCAATCAAACACACTGATTCATTCAGGAACTTAACAAGTGAGTGTCTTTTATTTATGAATCATTGAATCATTTGCTCAACCAATTCATTCAGACACACTGATTCATGAATTAAACAAATGAGTGAGTCATTGAATCATTCAATCAATTGATTTGTTTAAACTCTCTAATTCACACTACTTCCGAAATCACAGTCTCCTCTTCTGAATAAGTACATACTTTGCAAATATTAATATTTATATTATACACTGAAAAAATGATGAATGTAGTATTTTAGGATTACATTCATATTATAAAGAACGTACTTTTTTATTTGTCATGTAACCTACCACTGTCAGTTGCGTCACTACGTGGCCATTCACAAATCCTCTCCCGCTGCATCATGGGATAGTAAAGTGTCCATCATATGTGCGTTTCAGAATGCCGGAAGTAGTTGGTCATCTGGTTACTTTTCACCTACTGTTTTATGAATACTGTGATCTGGACATAATACTCTTTCACATACTGTTTTTTTCCTTTATAGTAGGAAAGCATGCGTATTCGGATGCAGCCAAAGTCTTTATGAATTAGACATTGAGTAATTCCCTCATCCGATTCATTCAGACACACTTATTAATTCATGAACTAAACAAGTGGCTGTCTTTATTAGTGAGTCATTGAATCATGCAATCAATCGATTTAGTTCAAACCCATTGATTCATTCAGGAAAAAACACCACTACTGTGCTGACCGGAGATGCCGCTTGTGATTTCAATTTGACTTTTGTTTGGTACTGTTTTTGGTGGAGGTGCAAAAACAAACTGCCATTATTGTGTATGAAATGTACAGTAAGTACTAATAATATTTTTTTGTACATAACCAGTAACACACTCGCAATCATGCTGTTCGTCTGAATATAAGCAGCAAAGCTGTGATTCACAGGAATGTGTGAGATTTGCTTAAAGGTTCACACAAAAATAAAAATGCTGTCATCATTTACTCACCCTCATGTCATTCCAAACCATAAGACTTGTATTCATTTTTGAAAAACAAATGAAGAAATATTTAATGAAACCTGAGAGATTCCGGTCCCTCCTTTTGAAAGTCCATTCCACCAAAACTTTGCTTCATTAAGTTTAAATAGATCCTAAAAGAAATCCATATGGATTGAGCATTTTTAAGGCATATAAATCTCTCAGACTTCATTAAAAATATATTCATTTGTGTGTCTAAGATGAACAAAAGTCATACAGTTTTGGAACAACATGAGTAAAAGATAACGGAGTAAAAAAAAATTGGGGTGAACTATCCCTTTGATTATGCCGCATTACAAAATGTTTGCATAAACTGTTTCATGGTGTAAATGCTGTTTGAGATGTGAGTGCAGTATTTGAATTTGATTGGCTTATATCCATCGCATTGGGTCATGTTCCTCAGGACATGAAAGCAGCATCTACGTTATTTCCACAGGGAGTTTCCTGGACTGAGGCAGAGTAAACTCCCACTTCATATATAATGCAATCAACTGTGCAGTTCATCTCTCATTTGAACTCACAAAAGGTATTGGCACTTGAATCCCACTCTCTCGCTCTCACTGAGAGTGAATCACACAGAGCCCCAGCCTCAGTGACAGACGCCCTGGACATACAACACAATGAGGGCCTCTCGAATTACTCTTCACAAACACACAACAAATCGTCTGTTATGGGTGAAAGACACTCCTGTCCAAAAATGCACTATGGTAACCATATATTTTCAGCAAAATTCCATATTTATTACTAGGGCTGTGTTAATACAATGTTTTTCCCACAATACTGAATTTATACTTTCTGTCATTTAGTTTAAATATTTGATTACGCTAGTGAATAATACTAAACCTTACAAAATAGTTGATCTGGTAACTATAGTTATTGCAAAGATACTATAATTTATTACTGTTGTTCATGTAAAATCATAATGCATTAACATGGTATATCATTCAAAAAGTATGACACACTTAAAGATTATGATTTTTTTTTTTCTTGATGACATTGGTATACTCTGCTCTTATTGGTTAGATGGCTCAGTCTTTTGTGATTGGTCTACTCTGCTCTGATTGGTCAGATGGCTCAGTCTGTTTTGATTGGTCTTCTCTGCTCTGATTGGTCAGATAGCTCAGTCTGTTGTGATTGGTCTACTCTGCTCTGATTGGTCAGATGGCTCAGTCTGTTGTGATTGGTCTACTCTGCTCTGATTGGTCAGATGGCTCAGTCTGTTGTGATTGGTCTACTCTGCTCTGATTGGTCAGATGGCTCAGTCTGTTGTGATTGGTCTACTCTGCTCTGATTGGTCAGATGGCTCAGTCTGTTGTGATTGGTCTACTCTGCTCTGATTGGTCAGATGGTTCAGTCTGTTGTGATTGGTCTACTCTGCTCTGATTGGTCAGATGACCCAGTCTGTTGTGATTGGTCTACTCTGCTCTGATTGGTCAGATGGCTCAGTCTGTTGTGATTGGTCTACTCTGCTCTGATTGGTCAGATGGCTCAGTCTGTTGTGATTGGTCTACTCTGCTCTGATTGGTCAGATGGATCAGTCTGTTGTGATTGGTCTACTCTGCTCTGATTGGTCAGATGGCTCAGTCTGTTGTGATTGGTCTACTCTGCTCTGATTGGTCAGATGGATCAGTCTGTTGTGATTGGTCTACTCTGCTCTGATTGGTCAGATGGCCCAGTCTGTTGGGAGAAGTCTTGAAGCTGTATGTTACACAACTAAAAAGGTAGTTGACTGTTTTGCACCGTCATTCTCTAATGCTTTTACATGGACTGTAGATAATGGGCAGGTGTGGTTTGTGAGAAGCTTTGCCATTGTTCATCAGCAGTGTCACAATGAGTCATTCTGCTCTGATTAAGTGACGAGTGTGTGTGTGCGTGTGTGCATTCATTACTCAAGAACCAAAACACCTGCATTATGCATGTAGCTGCTCTCAGTCTGCTAACACACCTGACTATAATTTTCAAGTGAACCCAAAGACCTTGATTAGCCGTTTTCAGGAGTAGCAGCTGAACTCTGCAGGAAGGTGTATATATCCAGGAGCAATGTTAAGCTACGGACACACTAGGCGTCGAGTACGAAAAAGACTTTGGGCAACAAATATGGGCAACAGGATGTGATGTCATGGGGCATAAAAAAAAAAAAAGTTTGGTTCTGGTTTGTTGTCAGTTGAGGTC